GTAGATTAATGCTGACACAGACTGAAAACTTTCTCTTCAGAAGGAATTGTGTGAAGTCCAGAGTGTGAGTAGCAAAGTGTAGTAGTTCAGCAAAGATGGTTTTGTTAAGTTGGTGGGTTTGGATCACCTTACCCAGGGATGATTCTATTTTGACATCAGTTAAACTGGTTCCATGGATAGCAGTCACCCTCTGCTCCCCCCACACGGAGGGAGTGATTCTCCAGCCTTATTGACAAAGGTAGTTAAAGTAAGGATGGGGCAGGTGATTGCCCTCCCTGTACCCTGCCAGGAGCAAGGACATGTAGTCCACATCTATGTGGTTTATAGCACTTTCAATGTGTGTTCAGTGAGCACAGTAGATAAGCCAGGCAGGCTCTGACCATTTGAAAATCACCTACTCAGAAAGGTGCATGGGTTATCTGCTTCAATGGCAGCTGGGGCCTTAGGAAAGGGCCTGAGGACCTCACTGAATGTTAGAGTATTGGTCCCACTGAGTATTTTTTGTGATATTGCCCAGAGTAAGGTAAAATTCATAGTTGTGGTAAAGCTCTTTAAATGTACCTATGGCATGAATGCCCCTTTAGAAGGCTGTAAAGCTTTTCCATGGTGTTTGAAACAGTCCAGCCAGCTCAGGTGGCCTTCAGGGAAGCTCTGTTTCAGTTTCTCTGCAGACACCAGTTGTCACAATGAACACTTGCTGCAGCAAAGCTTTTTGGGGAAGATGTAAGTAGGAAAGGATAAATTATCAGGATTGCATCTCTTTTAAGACAGATAGGGCCAAACAGCCTAAATATATGTGTAAAGTTGAAGTCTGTGCAGACAGTTGACATCATCATTTGTTCTTACTAACTGCAGAACAAAAGTTTCACTGCCTGCCTTTCAAGCCCTCTGCCTGTCTTGTGCCTTTCTCTGAGAGAGCATCTCCCATAGAAGCAGGTGCTCAGTCTCACAGATATTTGAACAGTCAGCTGGTTGATGGATGTCCATGCTACTGAGGGAAAAAGGAGGGTTTTGGTTTTATGGCCTTTTCAGTAAGACAGTTTTAAAAATCTAGTGCTTCAGATATGAAGACAATCTTCCATCATCCTCAGTAATTTGTAGCAGTAATTTATGCCCTCGGCCTTATTTGGTTTTGGTTTGGACTACAGGCTTCAGCTTTCATCTGTTGGATGTTGCAAGATGATTGTTTTTAGGGGGAGAGCAGAATTGGGAATTATGTTTCTGTTCCCTAGACCATGGGAACTCGTGCTGGGAGTTTGGTCCAGCCTGCAGGAGCCAGCAAGGCTCTTTGGGGAAGGGCAGTCAGAGCAGCAGTGCTTGGCACAATTACCTTTGCTATTAATCTGGAAGAGTCAATCATCTGAGGCATGGCTTTTAAACCTGTTAACAAATAATTAACTGCAGCACAGGCTCTTGGCCCAGCAAGGATGGCTTCTTAAGCCTGTGTGAGAAACTGTATGTTCTGAACTTCAAAGAGGAGCAATAAATCTATTTATAAATCCAGACACCTCTACAGAAGATCCCTTCCTGTGTTTTCACTTACGTAATCCCACCAAGCATCAGGCACAGGTAATTCAGACAGTAAACTTTGGGAATCACTGTCAGCCTTGCTGGGCAGCCTGTGTAACACACACTCACCTTCCAGGCAGCAGCCTGGGGCTGTCAGCTCTGCTTCACAGACACCCTGCTACCTGTGCCTGGCTGCAGGGCTGGTGGCTGTGTGTTCAGGCAGGGCACTGCAGGCTGCCTGAGCACTGCCTACACACACTGACCCCTCCAGGGATCAGCCACACGCAGCTGGTGAGCTCAGGGCTGGGCACAGCCCCTCTGGACATCCACCCTGTGCCCCTCTGGTGCTTCCAGGTGTTGGTACTGCATGGGAGGGGAAGGAGAGAAAGCCTGACAAGGCTGGGTTGGAAGGATCTGAGACAGGAATCACCAGGCAAAATCATTTGCTTGTTCTGAGAATCAGATCAGACCATGGAAGACCTACAGCTCCAGGTGCAGGGAAGGTGCAGAGCACAGCTCTGGTCATGAGCAGGCACTTGGAGCTCACAAAGGGCAGGGCCAGGGGGACCAGGAGCAAATGCAAGTGTTTGTGGAGCTCTGTACCCAAGGGCTTGATGGGCAGCTGCTCCTCCAGCCTTGCCTTAAAAGCTCTTCACCGTGGAGATGCTCTCATCTCCCCAAGGTACTTTCATCCAGGGCTTGTATTTCATTCTCTTCAGAAACTCGGTCAGAGTTAAATATATTTCCTTTGCAGTTGAGCTGTTGTTTCTAGTCCTGTCATTCTGCTGGCTTACCCACAGTGATCCTCTGCAGTCCTCAAGGTTTTTCTGTAGCACTTCTGCCCAGCCCCATTTTCACTCATGTTTTCCAGCTCTGGCCGTGGTTGAAATGCATTCTGAAGATTTTGGACAGCTTCTCTCTTTTATCAAAACTGCAGTCTCATCCAATCTAGCCACTCCAAGGTGGTTGGAATCTCCCCAGTTTAGCATCTTCCAGAAATCTTCCAAGTATGCTGTCTATTCCTCATCCAGATCCTGAAGCATTTAATGGCCTGGAGCTCAGGATGGAGCCGTGTGCAATCATTTCTTACAATGACAGTGAGCCAGTCTTCCCAAGCAGGGATTGTGCCAGCTGCACTCGGCTCACGTTTGCTGTCATTGTGCTGAGACCATCACATGGGTGTTCCAGAGCTCCAGCCCCTCCCTGGGCTGAGTGTCCCAGGGCTGCCACACTTCCAGACCCCTCCTTACAACAAAGCTGGTCCAGGTGCCTGGCAGCAGCACCAAGCTGTCTTTGGGGAACATCCCACCTCCTCTTCTAGGTTGGTTTGGAGCTAATGCTAATGAGAAAGGCTGCTGGAAATGCCTGTGGTGGACATTGAGCCATTCCCCCTGCTCAAAGTGAGATCAAAGCCTTTGCAGAGGCTTTCTGCAGCAGTTCAGTGCCTTACCCCAAAAAGGGAAAGAATCAGATGCCAGCTTCAAACCTGACTGTAACTCCTGGGCTAACTCACAGGCTGAGGGCAGGATTTGGGTACTTTCTGTGAATACCTGTGGGGGGTGGGCACACCCTGTGTGCCTGATGGCCAGAGAGGCTCATCCTGAGCCTCCTCCAGCTCTCTCTGCTGTGGTGGGCTCAGAACACACAGCCTCTCTTGCCATGGGCTAGCAGAGCTGTGGTTTTACTTTATCCTGGCACACTGCTGTGAGGGAGCTGTGTCAGCACAGAGGGGCTGGGATCCCAGCTGGCCAGAATGGGCTGGGCTGCTTCCCCAGTGCCACCCACACAGCTCAGCTCCCTGCCTTTGCCTGGGCAGCCCTTGGGATTGCTCTTCTCCTCTGTCTTGTGCAATGTCCAGACCTTAATGACAGCCCTCTGTGCTGGCTGCTGTGGGTAGTCAGGGAAGCTCTGCATTACCAGGACGTTTTCCTGGCCCTGGCCACCATCCCATCCCATCCCATCCCATCCCATCCCATCCCATCCCATCCCACTCACCCACTTGTGGCTTTGGAGCACTGTTTTCACAGGGGTCCTGTCAACTGCAGCATGAGAGCTGAGGAGCTGTTTCCAGCTTGCTGGGTCACAGGGAGCCCATCTGTGCCCATTTGCTGGCTCCAGGCTCTGTGCCCCTCGTGCCCCTCTGCTGCCCTTCCCAGCCCCCTCTCCCGAGTGGCACAGGCAGCCCAGCCCCTCTGCTGACTGTCCTGAGCCTGTGGGGTGGGAGCCAAGAGCACATCCAGAGGCACAGAGAAAGGATGACCTGCAGGAATGGGCACATGGCAGGGCTTTAGCAGCAGTGCAGCACCCAGGAGGGATCAGGGGCTTCTCAGGGGCTTGGGTCAGTGGCACAAGGACTTGCACAGCTGCTCCTGGCTTCAGTCCCTCAGTGGCACATACAGAGCTTTTTCCATTCCATTTCTTGCAGGTGGGAGCTTTGATTTCCCTTGCAGGCTCTCAGCCCCCTTAGCAAGGGTTTGCTGCTGCTTTTCATTACTGTAGCAGACACTGTTGATCTGATGGCTTCTGCAGGTGCTGTGGGGTACAAGAGGGTCCGGCCACGGTTGTCAGCTGTCATCCAGAGTCAGAGTTAATCCAGGAAAACAGTAAAAATTAGTAATGTATATTGCATTCCTGCAGTCCATACGCTTTCCATTAGGTGATCTTCCATCCTCCTCACACAGAAAGGAAACCCTGCCAGTGGCAGACTCCTGACTCTGAAGGGATTGGTCGTGCCTGGAAATCCGATCTGGGCTCTTGCATTCCTGGGCACGCTGTCTATGCAGGGATAGTCTCCCACCTTTCAATGCAGGCAGCAGATGCTAGCCATGTGCACAGCCTGCAAGCCCAGCAGCTCCTGTGGCTGCAGATGGGGCCTGGGGCTGCACTGGGGTCTTGTGTGCTGGCCAGGCTCTTGCTGTGCGCAGGGGTCTGCCAGGGGAGTGGCCTTGCCCAGTGTCACCACATAACTCATGTACAACAGCCATGTGGGAACGAGGCACAGTTAATTCTTTTGAGAGATCACATTTTAGCTTTTTTTAATTAATAAACTGGTGAAGAAATTCCTCAAGATCCTCAGTGTCAGGAGTGTTACAGAAAGTGAAACATTCAGCTTTCTTAAATAAACCTTATCCTCAATCACTCCCATGCTTTAGTGGCTCAAGATCAGCAGTTCTGCAATAAATGTTACACAGTGCAAACTCAGTCGGTAATTATGTGCAGATGAAGAAGGGGAAATAAAAGACATCAATTTCGAGGTGTGACTGCACATGCTAAGTGTGCCCTGGGCTCTTTGAGGTGTCACGAGCAGTCTGGGGCTCTGCTGTGTGAGCTGGAGCTCCATGTGTGCAGCTGCAGAAAGGGAGTTCCCCCACTGCAGCTCCTGCTCCACACTAAAAATAAGGTCCTGGGAGCTCTGCTTCTAGTGCTGTTGGATGCCTAGCTTGCAGGGCTAGCTAGCTCTGACCTGTTCTTTTTTATCCTTCCTTTTGCAGAGAACGTGATCAATGGGCAGGACTACGAGGTGATGATGCAGATTGACTGCGAGGTGATGGACACCAGGATCCTGCACATCAAGAGCTCATCTGTCCCTCCCTACCTGCGGGAGCAGCGCAGGAATCACAGCCACCCCTTCTACAGCTCGTCCCCCTCGGTCCCAGAGACCCCCCACGCCCTCAGGGCCATTGTCAAGTCCCTGCAGTAGCTCCTGGGACAGCTCAGGGAGCAGCCGGCATGCAGCAGGTCCTGCTGCCAGCCTGAGCCCTTCCCTGGCACTCCTGGGGCTCCTGGCCCGTGGGCACAGCAGGGACAGTCCCCTTGAGCCCATTGCTGGGCCTGACCCTACCCAGCGGCCCCATCCTGCCCAGGATTGTGCAGCTCAGCTGGCTCCTGGCCAGGGACAGTCCTGGGGACCCCACACAGCGTGGGGGACAGGGGCCATCCCTGCCACTTCTGCACTGTCCAGAACTGGGGTTGTTCTGCATTTTTGTCCCTGTTGGGCTGCCAGAGGTGGGCTGATGAGCCAGAGACGTGGCAGCAGACGCCCACACTTGGGGTCACACCCTGCAGTGTGCCTGGGCAGCAGGAGGAGGCTGTGCCCAGCTGCAGGTGCTGGGCCTCACCAGGCAGCCCCAGTCCACACCATTCCCTGCCCAAATCCTGCCTGCACAGCCTCCCTCAGCAGGAAGCCCTGGCATGCAGCAGTGGTGGGGTAGCCCAGCCCCCCAGGAGGGTGCTGGGACCCCCCACTCACCCCTAAAGCACTACAGGCAGAACAGCCCCAGTGCCCCGGGGCTGGGCTGCCACTGAGGCACTGCCCACCCCGCACCTGCCTGGCTCTCCAGGGTCCTGCTGCTGCCTTCCCCAGCCCACAGGGCTGCACAAAAGGCTTGGCCCAAAGGAAGTGATTTCATGCAGCAGATGCATTTGTAAAGTTTGGGTTTTTTGAGTTTGTTTGTTTTGTTTTCTTCCTGGTTTTTGTTTGCGTGGGTTTTTTGTGCGTGCTATTTAATACTCTTCACTGCTAACAGCAGCCCATGGAGCAGCACTGGCCCTGCTGGGGCAGAGGGGCTGCTTCAGTTCCGTGGGGCACAGCCACAAGCACCTTCTCCTGAAGCCACACACAGGTCACACACAGCCCCACTCTCTCCCTGTCCTGCCAGCACTGACAGCCACCCGCCGGGCACTGGGGAATGGCCCCTTTACCCCAAACACTGGCTGAGCCAACTGCTGCCATCCCAGAGTGTCTGTGAGCTCTGCCACTGATCCCACATCTCTCAGCCGAGCCCCAGGCCCCAGAGCTGGGCTCAGGAGCTGCAGCGCACCGGAGCATAATGACAGCCTTGCATAATGACTTCAGCATGTTGTTACATTATTTTTTTCTCCCCTGTGCAGTTCACAGAGAAGATGATGAGCTCCAGCTTGCCAGCCAGCTGCCTTCATGGTCTGAGTGCTAACTGGCTCATGTGGGGTTTTTAATTATTAATTAGTAGTATTATTATTGGTGTATGTGTGTGGCTGTTAGGAAATGAAGGTCAATGCCACAGCAAGACAAAAAGAGCTCCAGGGGCAGTGAGGAGGAGGAGGATGAGGAGCAGTACACCCCTGTGAAGAATGTGCCTTGCAACACCACCAAGAGCTATGCCCTTTGCCACGTCCCCGTCCCTGCTGGGAAGGAGCCGGGCTTGGCTCTGCTCACACCAGTTCATTTTCCTGGCCCAGCCCCACCTGACTGTGGGCCAGCTCACAACAGGCAGGAGTGAAAACCCCAGCAGTGCCCCAGGCAGAGACACACGGCTCCCTGCAGCCGTGGGCAGGGGCTGCTGGCTGCTCTGGGGGAGTTTGCTGCCAGGGGGCTGGGGAGGGCACTGGGCTTGGCACAGCCTGGCACCTTGGGAAGGGCTGGGGGCTCGGGACTGCTGCAGCACCACATCCTCAGCCAGCACCCCTGGGCTCTGGTGGTGGAGAGCATCTCTCATCCTGTGTAATTCTGTTCTCTGTGTCCATAGTACTGAAGGCAATAAAATCCTTCTTTTATTTATTACTAATAACTTTATTATTGTGCTTGTTAGTACCGTTTTCCTTGGGCAAATGACTGGAACAGCTGCCAGGTCTGCCCGCTCTTGGGCTGCAGTGTGGCTCTGCTTGGCACAGTGTTGGCACTGCCCATGGCATATCCACCCTGTCCCCCTCCTGCTGCTGGGGACGGGGCACCCTACACGAGCTGCTCACCCAGAGCCTGCAGAGGAGCCCATGAGGGCTGGACGTGGCCTTGTCCCCCTGCCCCAGTGCCAGTCCCAAGCAGCCTAAAGCCATCTGGGGTTTGTCCCCACCTGGTGTGTAAGCTGATTCTCCCCAGACCGACCAAAACCCACCCAAAACAGCCCTGTGCCTTTTCATGCTCCCAGAGGCTGAGCCAGATCCAAAGAAAGCCCCGAAGAGCTGCGAAGGTACTGGATCCTTTATTACTGACAGCAGGTAAATACAAGATGCTGGTGGGCAGGAGGGCAAGGGCGGTGCCTCTGTGAGGGATCCTGAAGGTCCAGGAGCAGGATGGGAGTGAGAGGGGATGGAGGAGATGGAGTGGCACAGGGAGGGCTGTGCCAGCCCCTGCCCAGGCTGCCCAGCGCCCAGCAAATGCCAAGGGGGACTACTTTGGGTTACAAAATGAACAAACAAAAGCCATCTACACGTATTTACAGCATGCCCCTCCTGTCAGCGGCTCCCTCCAGGCGTGAGTCAGGGCAGGGCCGTGCCCAGCCCCCAGAGCTGCCCGCAGGGAGCAGAGCCCCGGCTGGAGGGGACAGTCCTGGGCATCAGTACCAGCACCAGGGGCTGCTGGAGCTGAGCTCGCAGCCCCGTTGTACAGCAGGGTGTCCAAGGGGCCTGCTGGCCATCAGCTGGGCAGGTGGTCCTGAGAGGTGGGACATTCCCACGGGACGTGCAGCTCCTCCAGCAGGACAGGCAGCATCCCGCTGGGACCCGGTGTGTGCAGCTTTGCACTGCTTCAGGGTGGCTTGCTGATCATCTTTAGCCGAAAACATCAGCAGGAGGATCCTCTGTCCTCCTCTTCCCTGGGCAGGAGAGCCGGGCCTGCCCTTCCTAAGGAGAACCTCTCCTTCCCCTGGGAAGGAAAATCAGAAGCAAGGATACAGCAAAGACGAACGGGGTGGTTCTGGCCTGGGGATCGATCTACAATCCGCCATAAAAAACCAGCTCGAAACAAAACCCATCATTTACTCTTCGATTTGTACAAAATAACAATAATAACAATAAAAATAATAATAATAAAAGGTGCTGGTGGCCCCTGGCTTGCAGTGCCCCACTGTGGTGGGGGGGTCTCAGTAGGCAAAGATGACGTGGTAGGTGACTTGGTGGCCATTGTCCCAGGCGTAGAGCAGGCGGTCCTTGGGGTTATAGTCTATCTGCGTGGTGTAGGCGTACTCGTTCTCGAAGAGCAGCCGGGGGATGATCTGCGTGTTGGTGTGCGTGTCGAAGGCGTAGGAGATGTTGGCGTTCCTCTTGTTGTAGCTGTCCACGGCGTACAGGACCCCGCAGATGACGAAGCAGTTCCCGTAGAGGTTCTTGCGCAGCCCCGTCCTCCACGTGGTCTCCTTCTGCGTGCTGAGGTCGGCGGCGTTGAGCTTGCTCAGCACGATCACCTCCTGGCCGGAGCCCTCGTAGCTGATGGCCGGGTAGATGACCCACAGGCCGTTCTCGTCCACGGCAAAGTCCACGTCCGAGTGGCCTCGCCAGCGCCACGGGGTGGCCTCCTCGTAGGCCACGTCGTGCAGCATGGCCCAGGCGGCCACGTAGCGCTGCCGCAGGTCGTACTTGATGATGTTGCGAGTGAAGGCGCGGTTGTAGTAGAAGGAGCCGTTGTACACCACGTGCCCTGTCCCGATCCAGCTGTAGGGCAGCTTGTAGGAGTTGCTCCAGCGACCTGCAGGGGTAGACACACCTGGCTGTGACACCTCGCTGTGCTGTGGCCATGCCAGCAGCATCCCCTGCCCCCAGCTCTGCCTGCCCTCCCTCCCTGGCCACCAGCCACAGCTTGAGCTGGCCCACACCCTGTATCCCCTAAAACCCGAGACCACCAGCCACAGCCTGAGCTGGCCCACACTCTGTACCCCCCACACCCAAGAGAGATCATCCCCCCCCAAGATGCAGCATCCCCAGGAATGAGGATGCCACTTGGACCAGCTGAGTGGTGGCTGGCATGGTACCAGAGATGTTGCAAACCCACCTTGCTTGAAGTTGTCAAGGTTCCTGAACTCCACCAGGGTGTTGCCGTAGTAGTAGTTGGTGACGTAGATCCGCTCCTCCCGCGCCAGGGGATCCTTCATCCAGGCTCCCTCGTTGCGCCCGTAGGTGTTCTGGGTGGTGGGCCCCGAGATGGTGGACAGCGTGTCCTTGCAGCGCCCTGCGTGGGCAGGGAAAGGCTTCTGAGCCCAGAGCCAGGGTGGCCACACTGTCCCTGGAACCACCAGCCCCCTCCAGCCCCTTGCTCACCCAGCAGGTGCCCCTGCCACCTCGGCCCTGGTGCAGCAGGACTGGCCACACCCCACAAACATTTCCCCCCAGCCTCAGCCATGTCCCTGCCCCAGCTGAGGCTGCTGCCTTTCTCAGGTCCCGGCTCTTTTTGCTCTGCCCAGCCCAGCCCCAAAAGGTGGCAGGAGACTTCAGCAGGTTCCAGAGTTAATAACTGAACCTGGCACCTCAATGAAGCACTGTCCAGCTGCCACCTCTGTGACACCTCCCAGCTGTGACAAACCCAGGGCACGAGCCACCCCTCTCACAGAGCTGGAGACCTGCAGGCACTCACCAATGATGTTCCTGATGTCCTCCTCCTCCAGGCCCTCCTTTGGGGTGGCAGGGCTGACCGGTGTCATGGGGGTGTTTGCCTGCACCCAAGCTCCTGGGCTGCTCTCCGTGTCACTCCAGCCTCCAGCGGGGGTGGCCGTGGGCAAGTCCTCCGTGGTTGTGGCCACCACTGTGCTGGCCAAGGCTGTGGGGAGCTGTGGGGTGCCCTCCTCTGCCAGCCCAGCCAGGGCAGTCACAGACTCCGGGGCAGTGGCCAGCTGGCTCACAGTGCTGGGGTGTGGCGTGGCAGGGGACAGGGACACTGTGGCTGTCACAGCAGCTGGCACGGTGGTGGGAGCACTGCCAGGGGTGGGTGGCCACCCCACTGGGGAGGGTTTCCTCATGGGCTCTCCTGCCCTGCTGCTGGGCCTCAGGAGCTGGTCCTCTATCAGCAGGTCCACCGTGTTGTCCCCACTGAACAGCTCATCTGCTGCCAAACACAGCACAGGGGTCAGCCCCACAGCCAGGGGAGTGAGCCCTCACAGCCCCTCCAGCTGCTCCCTGCCCATCTCTGCAGGTTGCCTGGGACCAAACCCACCTGTGTGCCCTCCCCATGTCCCTGCAGAGGCCGACAGTGCCCATGCCAAGGCTGAGTGACATCCACCACTCATGCCAGGCTGGAGCTGATGGAGATCCATTCTGCCCTCACCTCCAGAGACTGGGCAGGATGGACACCCAGCTGCACTCGCACCCTGATCCCACTCACCTAACCCAGGGTGCCACAGCAGGTGCCTCAGCCAGGGCATCTCTGGGGCTCCCCAGCCAGCAGGGGCACCCCTTGTTCCTCCTCCTCCTCATCTCCAGGAGCTCACAAACCCCCAGGGCCAGGGCAGTCTGCAGAGAGGGCATTGCCTTGTGCCCTGCTGCCCGCCCTGCTGGTCCCTTTGTCCTTGTGCCCTGCTGCCCACCCTGCTGGTCCCTTTGTCCTTGTGCCCTGCTGCCCACCCTGCTGGTCCCTTTGTCCTTGTGCCCTGCTGCCCGCCCTGCTGGTCCCTGAGGGTTCAGTCCCTGCTCCCAGCTCCGAGCTGCCTCCCAGCACAGCAAACACTGCTCAACCCTCCAGTTGTGCAGATTTGTCTGTGGCAGGCAGATTTGAAGCACGAGCATAATATTTCAAAAACCTCCGTTTACTTCTGGAAAGGTGTTGATGCTGGGTGTTTTGAAGCAAAGCAGTGAGCGATTTCCTCAGCTACCAGGGATTTTCCATGGAATAACAATGCCACATGCCCCACAAACGCAGCTCAAAGGCTGCACAGCGTGAGGCTCCAGCTGTCCCACCTCCCCCTGCTGCTCCCACACATTCCCAGGGGATGAGGCACTGGCTTTGCATGCCCAGCATGGCTGCAGACCCGACTCACGTGTCTCCTCGATGTCGTTCTCCGACTCGGGGGACTGGGCTTTGTAGTAGGTGACCCCCCGGACGATGGTGGGCTTGGAAGGAGGCCGGCTCCTCACCCCCAGCTTCCTCTGCAGGAGCTGCTCGGGCTTCTTGTCCTCCTGGGAGAGGTGCAGCTCCGGCAGGGACTCCACCGAGTTGATCTGCTGGGAGATGGTTTCATCCTTCAGGAATCTTTCTTCGTATTTTCCCTGGAAGAGACGCAGGAGGTTGTCACCAGCTGGGCCAGAAATGCCATGTTTTGGCCATAGGGCAGGTCAGGCTGCACAGCCCCAGCCTGGGCAGGGGGATCTGAGCCCCCTCCCTCCTTCCTCAGGGTCTCCCTCGGTCCATTCTGCCATGGGAATCCCTCCAGGAGACAGCAGGGTGGCAGACCAGCGCTGCTCCTGCACATCCTTGGTGCCACCCCGCAGTTCTGGGGCTCAGGGCTCCAGAATGGGAGCTGTGGGATGCAGGGCAGGCAGGAGGAGCAGGGTCACTTCCCTGGCAGCCAGGGGCTGGCCCCAGCAGCTGCTGTGCAGAGTGTGCAATGTGCACTGAGCTC